AACATCAAGTTCCTCAGGTATGGTACCAAACCTGCCCAAACCTCACAAAACCTGCTGTTGGAGTATGGCAGGTTTTGGGCAGTTAGGGTTAATAGCACCTCTCAGGGCTACTAATCTGCCACGTCAGATGTGTCTGACAGACTTGAAGAAAAAAAGATTTCTTTTAAAATAAACAGATCTAAGGAGAAAGGGAAAGGGATCTATGTACCGGTATGTAACTTTTGTACTCATTTTTCAATTCCAAATGCACTAGCATTTCAATATAATATTAACACAATGTACCAATACATGCAACTTCATTTAACTTAAATGTCTGGCCTACATCAAACCATTGAACATAAGGCATTCACCTGTCAATTACCCATGCCAAAAAACTGCATGCTGCCTCAGTCCTCCAGAATCCTCCAACATTTCTTGAATGTGCTCCTTTTGAGGGGTGCCCACTACATGTGTACCTCAACCCTTCAAAATCCCCGGGCAATTCCTGTCACTGTGCTGAGGAAGTGCAAATGGATCCTGGAGCAGTATGGATGATTTTGTGTATAATCTCGACATGAATTTATGCATGGCTGAGCATAAACAACACAATGTCTAACCCACAACCTTGACACAAAGTATCCTTCGCAATCGGCCACACCTTTGCCATTCTTCGTCAATGCTCCAAAATCCTCCAAAATCACCAAGAGGATGTAGGAAGATTACAGTCAAGTGAAAGTATCAAATTACACCATACAAATGTGCAAATGTACACATGCACATGTACATGTATGTCTTATAACTGTGATAGAACACAAACGACATCTCCAGACGTTTTTCAGGTCATGTATTCCTTATTAACCCTAACTCCCTAGGGTGTGTGCAAAATCATATTAACATTGGAGGATTCCGGAATGTTAGGGTTAATACAGAATATTCTGAGCTTCAAAGTTCAATATGTCACTGGCTTCCTAACCTGCTTCATGTTTTTATAGCATTGATTCTTTACATGTCCACTTCAATTAATGTACATGTATTGCGCCTACCGTACATGTACTTGTCAACTGTTATTATATTGTACCCATATAATGTTCTCTGTACTGTTTGCTATACAGTGTGTTCAATGGACAAATAAATAAACAAAGATAACAGTAATAAATGTATAGCATATTGTGGACATACATTCTGAAGCTGCCAGAATTCATGTGTACCACTATGGAGGTCGGAAACCACCAAGCATTACAATGAGCTATGGTACGTGTATTGACATTTCCCTTGTAGATGTACTGTACATGTACATTGTATGTATTTCAATTTATGCGCATGTAGCATACACATGTACTGTCACCGTGAAGAGGTTTCCAATACCACTCTACAAGAACAACAGACTAATTTCCCAAGGGCAAAATAACCACTGGCTGGCAAGGGTGGGTGTATAGAAAAAACATCCAACTATCAAATTGCCACCCATAAAATATAAAAGAAAAAGTACACTTGTACCAGTACACACATTACAGTAGATGTAACACAAAGCACACGCAGAGTACAGGTTATTTCATTAATTAATGCTTTTATTTCCTTCTAGGTGGGTGCATTTCAAAGGAAGACAGAGGGATATGCAGTACTCAAGAGTAAGACAGCTGCATGCCTTAAATACAGGCACCGACCACAAACTCCAAGCAAATTCTCCTCTGCCAATTTTTTTGGGGTGGGAACAAATTACATCCAGTTGGTCTCCTTTGGTTCATCTGAGGGTTCAGGAATTGGAATCAGATACACAGTGTGTACTGTACAAGGCACATGTATGCTACTTGTAAAGTACACGTTAGCCTGTGCCTGAGTGTGTGCTTTGTATAAAGACGGCGTACGCCATTCTTGCTATTCAATCAGGATTGATTGTGAGGAGGAAACTGCTTTAATTCCATGTTTGTAGAGTGCACTGTATTGACAGATTTTTCAGTGTAGAGGTCACGTCATTTATAAGAATGACGAGGTGGAGGATGTACATGTAAGAGGGAGACTGTGAAAAAAAAAAGATACACGTGATTCAGTGACTGGAGGAATTGTACATGTGACGAGGCTATCAAGAATATGTCCAATTTGTCAGAGTAAACAGCATGCCATCACATCACCAGTGATGTGTACTGTGCATGTGTTCCCAAGCTTCCCTGAAGCAATAAAAATGTTAAATTTGGAAAGATTTCAGGGAGTTTATCATTATTGTTTATTATTGATCATTTCTGGTAATGACACCAAGAATCCTCAAAAGCACTTACAGTTTTAGAGGTGGGAGGAAAACCCAAGAGGAATACATGTATTCTGGGTAAAACCCAAAGAATCAGGTAGGGACTGAAACCCAATCTACATGTGGACTGAGCCAGTATTCGAACCCAGACCTATAGGCTGAGCCTTTTCAAACGTGTGCCAGCCTGCCCCACAAAGTGTTTGGGTATCATAGGATTTTGAGCCAAAATCTACATGCAAACAAGGTAAAAAAAAAAGAACAGGAAATTCCTGCACTCTTTATTACGTTAATATCCTTTCTAGTTTCCCCTATGGGGTACAGCCCTCACTGCAAAGTAAAATCGCAAAATGAAATCAACTTTTTCTTGAGTCATCACTGAAAATGATTGAAACTCGCAAGATACATATTTATCGAAGATTTCTTTAAGTCCAACAAAGACTAACCCTAACAGTCCAAAATCTTTCGATTTTGATATAATTTTATACACCCTGGGGGTTAGGGCTAGCGTAATTCCTGTTTCAGTGGTTTCAAAGCTCAAATCTGCCGGCTTTGTAGCGATTACCATGCAAGATTTCTGCACCAGAGTCGTTAGCGCTACATAGAGTACACGCATACCATATAGACATACATGTACCATACTTGGCAACCAGTCCGCGTAGCCGCATGCAATGTACACTGCGCTAAATATACATATCATGCATTTTGTCGACCGAGAGTGGAATTTCACAAACTTTGAATTATTTATCATCAGTTCTAAATATGTTTCTCTTATTTAAAACAAATTTGTAATGTTCGTTAAAATGGCACAGAAAATTTGGGAGTCAAGGGGGACATTTGGTATTCCCAAAATGTTCGGTGTAACTGTGTTCGTTATAGTGACGCTCAACTGTACATGTATAAAGGCAAGTGTGTTGGGACACAGATACACTACTTTATTCTGTGTTCCAAGAGCGCTAGCAGAACAACAAATTCATCTGCAAGCAAACTGGACATGCAGTATAAAGATGTTATGGGGCCCATGTGCACAAATGTGCCACCTTGAATTGACAGCAAATTTTGCAGTTGCACATTTTG